CTACGGCACACCTACCCCCTTAGGGCACACCTACCCCCTTAGGGCACTCCTACCCCCTTAGGGCACACCTACCCCCTTAGGGCACTCCTACCCCCTAGGTCATCGTATTTCGTGATAGTCGTATTTCAGGACTGTCGACGAACCCTATAGTGAACCTAGTTAGAAATTGGACGATCAGTTTGGACTCCTTCCTCTTGTAAGTCTACGCCAGCATTGATTATGTTCCCTTCAGTTTTTGGGGTGTGGTCATCAGTGCGGTGACATTGTACACAGCCTTTTTTGTGTCGGAGGACGTGAGTGAGGTGGAGGCAGAGACAAGTTTGGCAACGAGCTATGGGTCGCTGGGAACAATGATGCGGTTACATTCTGTGCAGCTGATGTGTCTGGTACTGATGACATGTCGTCTGCCCTTCGGACCCGTGGATGGCGCTGCAACACTTAAGATCATCGAGACGGGTAGTGCCAAGGAGGTGCTTGCGCTGCTGGCGCCGATCGCCTTCCCTATCGGTATCACCACCTCGGTCCTTACCGGCCGTGGAATCAACAAGAGGTTCTCCGCACTCGGAGCCTTCAAAGCAGGCTTCCTCGGCCGTGTCCTTCTCGGCTTCGTCTGGCTACTCATTTATAAGTTCGCCAAAACAGTCGGCGGCGACCAACCTGGCATATATACCATCATCATACTCGGCGTCTGTTGCCAAGCCATTTGCTCCGAGATCATGTTTGTCTCGCAAATGGCCTTCTTTGCACAAGTCAGCGATGTCTCCATGGGAGGCACTTACATGACTTTCTTCAATACCGTCGCCAACCTCGGCAATAAAGTCAGGCAACGCACACACCGTCTATGCTCACACAGTCCGTCTATTTCCTCCCCCTTTAGTGGCCGTCAATGCTGATGCTTTCCTTAATGGACCAGGGCCCGTTCATATTTTCGGGGTGGGAGACTTTTGTGGAGCTCACGACCATTTGCTCCATAGGCGGCGTAGCATGGATGGCTGCGGGAGGCCGACTGTTGGACCGACTAGAACAAATGAACCCGTCTGATTGGGAACTCTCTTCACCCTCTTCTAGGGTAGTAACTGAAGATAGCATGGAGTTAATCAATCAAGTAAAAAAGCGCAGGCCCTGACCAACCCTTAATGACCACCCTTACACAAGCTAGCACCAGCCCTTGTACAAGCCCTTGTACAAGCCCTTGTACAAGCCCAAATATTTCGTGCGAGTCATTCGTGCAAGTCATTCGTGCAAGTGTTTCCCACAGTGTGGGAACACCCGGCCACGACGTCGCTCATTACCTCCAAGCCTGGTACACTCTGACTGACTGGGGCAGGCTCCACAGATCGCCGCCTCCTCCGACGACGACGATAGTCTAGACAGATGGGGGGTGTGAATTGGGCCTGACAATCATGGTTGGTTCGTCATCGTTGATATCAACAGTTGGTGATGGTTGGTTGTGTTGTAGGACGGAGTTTTTGATCGTCAAAAAATTACTACCTGTTGAGTTTAGGACTTGTAGTGTAGAGCCACATGTCGTTGTCATCATTACCTACGACCCGAAAAGTCTGTGTATCTTGACCTGTCTCGGATACGAAAGAATCCAGATCGTTATCGAAACCTCCTCCGTCACTTTCGTAGGTGTCATCAGGATCACACACGCCCCGGCCTGCTCGCTTGCGCAACCCGTACGTCGCGATACTACCCACCACCGCCGCCGGCGCGATCAATGCTCCCGCCAATACCACCCAGTTCTCCGTCTTCTCAATCGTCGTCAGCCGCTTGTGATCGGCTGTCGTTGCCTGCTCGCTCGTACTCGACTCCGCCCAAGAAATAGAACCAACCATCGTCGTCTCAGGCCGAACAGTAGTAACGATCGTCGTCTCAGGCCGAACAGTAGTAACCATCGTCGTCTCAGGCCGAACAGCAGTAACCATCGTCGTCTCAGGCCGGACAGTAGCAGCAGATGCAGTAATAGCACTACTAGGTGTAGTGATCACGCTACCGGGTGTAGTGATCACGCTACCGGGTGTAGTGATCACGCTACCGGGTGTAGTGATCGCGCTACCGGGTGTAGTAACGGCAGCAGTCGACGCCTCAGTCAAAATCTCTTTGGCATACACGCCGAGCATCGGACGTGCGCCTGCTACGGCACCTGCGCCTGGCACAGGACCTGCTTGTCGCTCAGCTATTTCCTTAACCTTGGGTGCCGCGTCGACCTCCTTCACGTGTGGTATTTCCTTCACGTTCAAATCTTGGTTCACATCTAACCCTGCCCTCGCCTCTAATCCTTCCTTCGCGTCCAGTCCACTGTGCAGGACTGCCGGTGGAATCGCGATGGCGGCCACAATGTCCTGTGTCGCAATGCCCTGCAGCGTTTCAGGTCTCGGTCTCGAGGTCAGCGCCGTTTCCGAAGCACGTGCCCCCGGGTTGCCCCCAGCTACGTTGCCTTCAGCTTGTCCAGGGGACGCGCGCTCCGGGCGGCTGGCTGCCCATTCAGCACGGCTCGCTGCAAGGGGGTGCGACATGGTGGACGTCGGTGGAATATACGGAGGGGGGTAACGCGCTACGGCGGGGTGGTCCGCTACGGCGGGCTGGTCCGCTACGGCGGGCTGGTCGACATCGACTTGGTAGCGGCTAGAGCCGGCTGGGTGGTAGCTAGAGCCGGCTGGGTGGTAGCTAGAGGCGATGGGGTACTGGGTGGGGACAGGGTGCTGGGCCAGGGGTTCATTAAATCCTTCCAGCCGGGAGAGCCCGGGAAACGGGTTCTTCGCCGGTGGAAGGGGCAAGTTAAATGAAGCATCAATGACTTGAGCAGTTACAAGCATCTTCGCTGCGGGCGTTCTTTCTGCAGGCGTCCTCTCTGCAGACGCCTTGGCCGGAATCGGAATAGTCTCGCGCGGGGGAGGTCGAGCCGGTGCTGTCGCAGAGAACGCATCTCTACCGAGCGGTGGCGCGGCCCATCCAGATCCGGCAGACCCGGGTTCGAATCGCGGCGGCGTCTGGAAGAATTCGCTCCTCATGAAGCTATTCCTCAAAGGTTCAATATCATCCACAGTATCAAATAAGAGCGCAGCGCTAGGGGCTACAATACTCTGCCAAACAAACCTGTATCGACCTCCAAGTACATTGGTCTGGCCATCAGTCGCACACTGGCCTACCACAGCCCTGGCTGATGTGTGGGTGCGGCGGTGTGGTTTACGAGCAGGAACGCCTTAGTCATTTTCATTCATACAAAAAAAGCAGAAAGTTTGCGGTCAGGCGTCGGCGAAGGCGAGAGGCGGGAAGGCGGCGGCGTCCATGTGGTAGCCAGCGAGGGGGGTGGCTACGGCAGTGGGGGTGTCGGTGGAAGCGGTGTCGCGTTCCCGTGCACGGCCTCGGCCGCGGCCTCGACCGGCACGTTTGGCGTAGTCGACTGGTTCAGTTTGTGTCTGTCGCGGTTGTCTGCTGACGAGGTCTTCAATGAAGGCCTCTGCTTCTTCAAGAGCGGCTGTTCGTCCAACGAGGACGATTTCAACTGTGCTGTCAGGGTCTACGTCATTGGGGACTTCGATGCTTTGTACGCCGGGGATGCGGCGAATTTGTTGAATGGTTGATCCACCTCGGCCAATGAGCATGGGCACCCGATCCCCGTTGATGGAGATGACGAGCCGTATGGTGTCAGCACTGGCTTTAGCTTGTTCGGCCTCCACATCCTTGATTTCCTGCACCGTCTCTTCGATTGCATTCCGGTCTCCCACGATGCGCGCCGTATTCAGTGTGCGATCAACGTGTATGGACACGGCGTGCATGTCTTCGAGAGCACGGATCATAGCGCCTCGGTCGCGCAACAGGTAGTCAACAGTTGCGGGGCCTTCGAGCTTCAGCGTTTCAACGGCACCCTGTTCCTCCAGAATCTGTTCGATGATTGTTTTCGCCTGCTTAATCTCCTCCGCGGAACCGACCAAATTGAGGCGGGCTCCCTCCTGCGGGTTGTTTTGAATACTCACTTGACAACCACTCGAGGCCTCGATCAAACTTCGGTTTTCGGCGTTGAAAACACGCTGCTGCTCGCGCATGATCGAAATACGCTCAACCGTATACTCTGCCGAATCTAACAACCGTATCAGTCCCTCATTCACCGCCGCTTTGTCGCTCTTGGCACAGATAACCCAGAGACAGCTCATGTCGCTCATTTCGGGCATTTCTTCGCGCTGCGCGAATAATCCGTATGTCTGCTGCAACGTCTTGAACTGGTTGTTGATCTGGAACGCACGGCTGGTAACCTGTTTAGACGGTGCCAGTACTCGCGAGATGGCTCTTGCAGATGCCGTGTACTCAAGGATGACAAAGTTTTCGACCAACTTTTCGCACACCTCTTTACGACATTCCTCCGCCTTCTCCGCCGGACAACGCATGATTATACGCGGCTTGCCATCATCGGGTTGAAGCAGCACGGTCACGCGAGCCTTGTGACTTGCCTCGATCGCTGACATCACGGGTCGGTGCACACTCACGATCGCCCGACCAACGCGCGGGTCGATCGTAAAGTTCTCAGTGGTCTGAGCTACACGTGTGTCCGCCTTGAGCTCATCCACACGCTTCCAGACCTCCTCCACGGCCGCCGCGGGGCCGTAGACGGTCAGTAGGTTGTTGTTGTCCAGGTTCAAAATCGTGCCGGTGTCCTGCTCAATCTGCGTTATGGTCGCACCTGCGCGACCTATAATCATGCCCGCCACTCGTCGGTCATACGCGCGACTTGCACCACCGGTCCAGTCACAGCTCTTCATCCACTCCACACAGTCCGCCACCTCCTCTTTGTAACCCCAAACACGGAGGGAAGTTCGTGTGGCAACAGAACTGCGTCGCCCAACGGGCATAATGATGCACTTAAAACGTCGCTCTATCTTGCGAGAAAACGGCGTGATGCGGTTAAACTCCACAGGCACTTCCAGGTTCTGACCCACCACCTTCTCCTTGACCAACTTAACCGGCTTCTCATAAGAGTCAAACAACATACTTAAGCGATCCAGAGCCCGGTTCAACGAGTCATTCTCACGAGCCTTCTCCACGTTGTAGACCAGCGACGCACGAGCAGACGCCACATCGTTCATCAAGTCATACATCCGGTCCTGCCAGACACGCTGATTCTGCTGCGAAATGACGGCAACTAATCCCGAAATCAGACTGTTTATCTCTAGGTCGTTCGGTTCCGCCTTAAGCTCCTCCGTCTGCACCATATCTCGTAACTCCTCGATGGTCTTCTGCGCCTTATCCGAGGGCACCCGCGGACATTTTTTCTGCATCGCGCGGATCTGGTCGTCAATCGTCGCATTCAGGTCGTCGAATTGGCCGTGCAACTGAGACACCTGGTCCAACAACTGCTCGTAGCGCAACCCCTCGCCCGTCCCGATCGCCGTTAAGCGCTTCTTCAAGTCCGCCAGCACTGTCTCGCGCTCCTTCTTCAACGGGTCCGCAGGCAAATCTTTCACCACCGAATTCGCCAAGGCTGCCGCACGAGCCGCGATTCGCTCCTGCTCCGCCTCTTCCTCAGCCGCCTCCTCGGCCGCACGCTGCTCCGCAGCCTCCGCCATCCGCGCCAAAATCAGCTTCGTGCCCTCGTCCGGCTCATATACACTCGCACTCTCCTCCCCTCGAGACTCATCCACCTGCTTGCGCTGCTGCACCCGCCTTTTCGGCTGCGCGCGCTTCTTCACTTGCGGGTTTCGCGTCTTCGGCACCTGGAACTCGTGTGCGGCCAATGGTGGAGCCGCACCTCCTCGGAAAGGCTAAAAACATCATATCACAACATCACCCAGCAGAACAAGCACTACTCACCACAACCACCCCCTGTGACATCACTTACAGCCATCACGGAAGATGTGACAGATGCCAAGGCATCGGTTGCCCAGCCGAACAACCCGCTCATATGGTAAAAAAAAATATCAAATTTCAAAGAGACGACTGCTCGAGGGCAATACACTTCGCAACCTCTCCCTCACACTCAAGTATTAGATCCGCCAATGCGTCGGGGTCTTTGCCCGATTCAGTCAAATGGATCATGTATTTGATCGTGCGGTCAGACCAATCGCGACCATTGAGTCGCAGCAGCACCCGCACGGCCTAGAGAAACACTTACGCTTATTTTGGGGACCGACGAATTACCTCTACCACGCTCGCCACCTCAGAACGAACTTCATCCATTATAAAAATCTCAATTAGTGTGTGCACACACGTGTGCTTGGGGGCGCGCACTAATATGTTTCTCCCTCCTGAGGCTGAGCAATACGTCTATTCACCCCAGCGCTCATAGCCTGCCGCAGGGTGGATAAAATGGTCTCAATCGACATATTCCTGTTCCAGTTTTGCAGACAGGAGAATGCGCCAGGTAGCGGCCGTCCATCTGGACCGATTCCGACCATGTTGATTTTCGTTAGGAATTTGACCGTGGGCGGCTCATCGGGATATTTCTCCCCACAGTGAATAGAAAGCGAGTATATCCGATTCTCATAAGGCGTCTGCAGCGAGAGAACGGGTTTCATGTCAGGGCCCCCGTCCGTGTCAAGGGCTGCTGCGAGGAGTGCGAGTGTATCTGGGGGCGACACAGCCGAATCATTTTCGAAAGACACGAGGGTGGGAGAGAGAGAGAGAGAGAGAGAGGGAGAGAGAGAGAGAGGGAGGGAGGGAGAGGGAGTAACTTCTCGTGTCACGGTATCTTACAAAGCAGGGTCCGAATATAGTGCCGTTCCACTTGCTTAGACTAATATCGTCATGTTGTTCGAGACCCCAGCTGCAGCCTTCGGCAGTTTTGCCTTTCTCGCCTGAAACACGGTTGAGGTCTTCTCTCGGTGGAGACTAGCTCGAGGAGTCTAGCCCGCCGCTACTTAAAGTAGTGATTGGTTATTGGAATGGTAGACTAGCTGGAATAGTCAAGTGGAGGTATACCTTTCTCGAGTTCGTCAAGCAGTTTGAAGTTCCTGGGTACTTTGACAGGTTCAGACGAGTTGAGCATGGTCTGAAATTTCACTTTGCACGCGACAAAATAAAGATTGGTTAGTTAGTTAAAAAAGATGCTTAGTGCAGTTTAATTCTTCTTCTTCTTCTAGCAGGTCTTCTGGTTGGTCCTTGGGTCTTTCGTTTGCTGAATTTCAGTTACTGAATGTCAATTCCAGCTCGACTTACTGTTGGAGCAGACTGGGAGCAGGTGCGAGAAGCTATGGGCGTGTTCAATACTTCTCTACCTTGAGTCCATGTTTGAAGAAGACGAAGCGGGGTGCTTCTTCCTCCCCGGCCCAGTAGGCGAAGATGGGCATGCACTTTAGCGGGTCTTCGGACTCGTTGGCCTTTTCGGCTTGGAAGAGCTCGCCGTTTTCGAATTCAGCCATCATCTTGACGAAGAGGCTCTGGATCTTCGTCTTGAATTCGGCAACCTCGGCCTCCGGCACAGCGGGCAGAAGCACAGACTTCATGTAGGAGGCGAAGTAGCCCTTGAAGAACTTCTTATCTGAGCCCAAAGACACCAACTGGAAGGCGTCGACAATGTCATTCACCTTCTCCACCGCCTGCTCGCCGTCCCCGGTGGCACCCTCGCCGGCATCCTCGTCCACGTTGCAACTGATGCCAAAGTCCTCCCCACCCTTCACCGTCATGCGCGACTTCACCTCAAAAGCCACCTGCTCAAACTCAGGGTTCTCAAACGCAGGGGCCATCGGGTAACCGTCCGAAACTAGTTCGCTGCCGCACGACACGTCGATGAAGACCTGGACCATTTCTACTCCCAAAAAAAATAAAGCCACAATCCCGCCACACACGACCAGCCAGCACACAATCTCAGGCCTCCCAGACAACCAGCCTAGACAGGCAACTCAGGCAAGACCGGAAGGCACCCATCCCACTCCCACCGGGACACCAGGCCCAGGCCCTTTCTGGGAAACCCCCAAGAAAGGGCCGGGAGGGACTCCACAGAAAAGAGGGAACTAAGTGCCCGCTCTCGACAGCAGGTGCCGCTCTCGACAGCAGGTGCCGTTCTCGACAGCAACACGTGTACCACAGAAACAAGGCCCGACGCCCTGGGCCGCGAAATGACACCCTCCCCACGCCCGGCACACTTGCTCCCGAAGTTACATTCCCTGTTCCCGATTAGGATTCCGTCGACGCAAAAACTTCGTGAAGAATTGGGTTCGGACGCGGGTCTACCCCCACGTCGCGGCGGTCGTTATTTGAACGGAATCGAATCGAACCCATACCTGTATCAAGGGCACAGGAGTAGTCCCAGTGCCATAATATGCACGTCAGTTGGTCAGTCGGTGTATCAATGCCTGTACCGTCATCAATGTTCTTTTTCTCATCACAACGGCAGCTCTCAATCACAACGGCTGCGCCGTCAGCGCCTGGCTGGCAGTCCAGTCATCTGGTCGGCTGGACTGGGTCGAGGGGGGCTGGGACGAGGTGGGCTGGGACGAGGTGGGCTGGGACGAGGTGGGTTCCAGCATAGTCCCTAGGCGTTGGAGTAGGGGTGTGCGGCGGAGGAGTGGTTTGGTGGAGCGTATGCCTTGGAGCGCCTCGGCCTGTACTTGGTTTGGATCTTCTTTGAATGCGACCGCGCGGGCCGGCGCGGTTAAGTCTGCGGGTGGGGTGACGAGTTCGGGTTCTCCGAGAAGGCCTCGTGCGTGGCCGTTGAGCCAGACAGTGAGGAGTCTACGTTGATAGGACTTACCGCCGCCTGTAATTCGGTAGCCGCCGATGCGGGCCGAGGTGTCAGTGAGGATAACAGGGCGCAGTCTGCAGTCCTGGTTGCCAGCGACGATTGCGAGTGCGCCAGAGTCGTTTCCTCGATTGGTGAAGGGCGCGAGGTCTAGTGTTAGATAGGCACCGGTTACGAGGGTGGCTTGGTCGGAGGAGGGTGAGTTGAAGGGGTCGTAGGCGTTCAGGCGGACGTAGTCGTTCGCCTTATAGTACAGTTGGTCCACGCGTTGTACGCAACTCGTTACAGGCCACGTCGCAAATTGCACAAACCAGTCAGTTGCATAACACGGCTCAACTCCTGCTGCGGATAAAGGACCCACGGTCAAGTTCCCATGTTGCCATACAAACCGCCCATTGAAGAACTCATCCGGCATCGATACAATCACCTGCCCCGCGTCATCGCTGCTGCACCCATTCAACGGCTTCCCCGTATAGATCTCCTCCATGTACGCCTGTCCATACCCAAACGTCCGGAAGCGACACGACCAATCCGTCTGCTCCATACAACCCAACGGATTCCCAGCAATCGCCAACGGCCGACACGCATTCGACAAGCAACACTCATAACTCTCCCGACACTCCGCCTTCATATCCGTCAAAGACCACCCACCTGCCAACACAGCCAACAATAAAGACATCACGATCATCACCGTCCAAAAACAACGTCCACAATAACTTGGAATAATAAGTCGAACCTACAACTGGAAAAATGCGCGCACGCTCGCGGTGCAGGCACGCGAGCGGTGCGTGCGACATCCTACAGAAATGAAGTGTGTGCCAGGAAGCACAGTGGACGTATCGGTGGGGGCAGGACTGTTGGCTCACGTAGTCTGGCCGGTGTCGTTCAACGGCGAGTGGCTGGACGCAACGGAGATGGCGAACGAGGAGCATTGGGCACTCAGCAGTGTCTCGACAAACGCACGCTTTGCGAGCAGTTTTCCAAATGCTGCACAATCTGCCTGACCCTCGCGTGTGTCCGGGATCCACTCCAGACCCCCTATTGCCATAAAGAAACGGTGCTGGCGACGAAGATTTACACGGTTCGGCCCACCGGCCAAGTTCAATTATCCCGACTCCAGTCACCTTCACTCCGATGACCTTTACTCTGGTGATATTAACTTCCGTGAGTGAGTTTCTGCAATACCGTTCTCAACCCATTGTCAGAACTTCCCGAGACGGTGAGAAGTCCCCATGCAGCCAAGACCCAGCCCCAGAGGCATTGCGGTGGTGGCCGTATGAAAGGGGGCGAGAAGCGCTATGCTGCACTGGGGTGAAGACGTCGCCTATTCCACGAAGGACCAGTTGGGATCAAAACGTTCAACGTCGGGTTGACGACGATGTTGGGTGGTATAGATGTCACAAGAAAGACCACAAAGCTAATGTGAGCTCGAGGAAGAACTTGGAATGCAGCAAGCACTTGGAATGCAGCACTTGGAATGCAGCAAGAGAGGTCACGAGGCTGTCGGGTTCGGGTGTTTCACAGCCAGCACGGCAGCTTGGGAATCCAGAAGTGCGACAGCTAGTCCTCAGCGCACCCACCCTCAACTTGAAAGAGTGTGGACGAATCTTTTGCGCCAAACGGTGTACTCGAATGTCCCTCCACAAACGCAGTGTGTATCGACACTCCTCCCCAAGAGGAACGTTCCAGAGGCAGTCCAGACGCACGTAGTACTTGTGACCAACTCTTGCGCACAAAGACTTGTCCAGCCCCCCACAACCGAGTCACTGGGTCGAATTATCACCACGTCGAGTTACAGGTTCCCTGTGAGCACGGCAAAACCAGATCGCACGAAGGCGGCGATGAATGTAAGCGCGCGGCGTAACCTCAGCACACACTCACCCTTTGGCGCAGCAGACACTCGGCTACTGCCCTAGCGCTTGTCTGCCAACCACTCTAGCTTCACATGCTTCCACCGACACTTCTAGCAACCCCCCACGAGACCAGTCACAGCTGCCAAGCCTTCCACTGGGGGTCATCCATCCCTCACACGTATTCGGCACGGGGGCACTCTTGCCTTAACCGCACGCCGGGCACTTACTATTCCGACCTGCCCGTGACAACCGTGGGCCTCTCGTCTGCCCCTCTCAGTACTTCAACCAACCGTACATCAGTCATCTTGAACTCATCATAACCGCGGGCCAGTCCTCTGATCCGACTGCTAACCGTGGGCCACAGGGGTGCCGTCCGCGCGTACTCTTGCTAATCACGGCCACTAATCTGCTTGCACTTCACGCTTCCGTCGACCAGTCTGGTGTCGTCTACGCTTGCTTACAGCAACCGTGGGCCAGTCTTCGGCCGCCACCTCGTCCTGCCGCGGTCCGCTACAGTGTCATCAGCGCATTTTCTGCATGGCGTGAAGAACATGCACACCAGCAAACCCAAATCGGTATCAAAAAAGATGCGGAAATGGATAAGTCCTTCTCCTGATTAATGTGAAATCCGGGAGAATAATGGATGTACCGACCTGCACGCCATGGCAGGCAACTTGGACTGCTTGTTCAAGTAAAAATCCAACTCATGCCACCCGCCTTTGGCAGAAATTATCTTTAGACGACATACCCCCGGGTCACAACTAGCTCAAGTTGGCGGATCAATTCACCCCTGTCTTGGAACGGTCTCCGCCAACTTGCTTCGCTCAATGGGGTGATAAACCTTCATTCGTAATGGGAATGATCTTTGTTTGTAACCGCATATGACAGTTTAGTATATCTTAGTCGCGATTGTAACACCCCTGCTCGCGGGCTTTTGTACTACGGGTGACCGGGCAATATTATTTGGGTGGCCTGAGAATGAGGTTTTTGACAAGAGACGCAAAGGACATTTCAGTCGGTGCAGGGCTGTTGGCTCATGTGGTGTGGCCGGTGTCGTTCAACGGCGACTGGCTGGATGTAACAGAGCTGGCGGACCCGGAAGCCATCTGGTGGTGCAATATGCGCGGTGGAGTCTTTTCGAGTATACTGCCTGAGGGCGCTGTGAACAGGCAAGGCGAAATGGACGCTTTAGTTAGCGCCTTGCAAATCCTGCATGATTTACCTAACGCTCGAGTGCGGCCGTGTGAAGAAGTTATGTGTTCGCACAATACGGACCACGAAACGTTGCGGCGTGCGCAACATAGAGCCACACGCAGCTTGAGCAGAAACTCTTGGGCGCGGGGAGCCTTGCTCATTTCGATCGCGAGTTTCCTACATGGCGTGAAGAACATGTTCACTAGCAATCCCCAATCGGTGTCAAAAGCGATGCAGAAAAAGATTATCCACTGGTGGGCGAAGCACAGTCCCGTCCTGGTCAATGTGAACCCCGCGGGACTGCATTGCCCGATGCCCATCTTTCCAGCTCTGCGCGGGCTGAACGTCCTGACCCACCAGTTCGACTGCTTGTTCGAAGCTAGACTCCAGACAGACACCGAACTCGAGCGAGACGTCGTCACGATGCCCGCTTGCCGCGATGCCCTCCCCGAAACATGCGAGGAACAAGGCGAAAAATAATGGAGAAACCTCCCTTGGAAGTGTGGGCTATCATCACTCCCAGAATCACCACGCGACCAGTGTAGGGCACCTGCTTGAAAATGCACGAAGATAGGCTGATCATTCGGAGAGCTCTCCAAAACTTTTTGGAGGTTGGCGAGACCTTTCAGAACGGCTACAAAAGTTTCTTCTGCTGCGTGCTGTTACGGCGCACCCATACCCCACCCCTAACGGGCTTTTTATTCTTTCCGTTCTTTTGGAACCCCCGAGCACTACCACACGTGGTGGACGACCCGGGGTAGTCGTAGCGACCAGGGTGCCTCAGAACGGTCTCCGCCAGCAAGCTTCGCTCCATGCGATTGGTACGGCAACCCTTCATTCAATTATCGCTATAACTGTACTTGATATCACTCGTGGTCGCGATTATAACACCTGCCCGCAGGCGTTTGTATACGGTGGCCCTGTACTACGGGCCCCAGTACTTGGCGCTAGTTTGGAGACACCCATGCGATTCGATGAACACAAATCCAACGGCCAGGCAGGACGCGCGCAACCCACGCGTCGTTCCCAGTACTCGCCGTTCCTTCAACAAACAGGCGTCGTCCTTGCGCTGGCAGTCACCGTTCGTTGAGCTCGCCCGATTTCGGGGTCACACCGAAGACCAAGCCGACGCTTTATTTAGCGCCTTGGAAATCCTGCACAATTTGCCAGACACTAGAGTGGCACACTATCGCGAGCTAGTGTCATGGCAGAAAACAATCCGGGAGTGGTGGGATGTTTACGGCGACGTCGTGGTCTACGCGAGCTTAAACTGCGTTGCTCACCTTCCCGCCGTTCCCCGACCTGCACTTCCCCTCCCGGGAGTGTCCGTTCCCGGGAGCGTCTGGCCCGCCGCGCCATGGCACGACTACCCGAGGGCAGAGCAGGCACCACCCACAGCACAGGAGGCACCACCAATACCAAGGACAAGACCAGCAGCCGCAACCCCAAACGAAGATCGACGGGTCAATACCCGATCTTCGTTTGCAGCCCGTAACAGCGATTGGTGATTTGAGCCTCTTCTTCGATTTGACGTAGAATGGACATACTTTTAGAGGGCGCCTGTCTAGGCGCTAGTTTGGGGGTCTCCCTATGAACGAAGACGCACACGTCTATTCTTCTTTGGATTACTGTCACGACCCAAGGAGTCATTGACCCAAGGAGTCATTGACCCAAGAAGAACAGCAACGAAGAGGCGGGTGCGGAGTTTACGATGAGATGAGTGGGGCGACCCGTCCATAGGCGCTGAGACGACGGTAGTATGAACAGCGAGAAGGATGCACCGGGGATGTGCCGAGTTCCGTTAGAAGTGTGGTGTACCGGAGAACCCATCAGTCACCCGAGAAGACAAGACGGAGATCAACTACCTTTTTTTGGATAAGTTCGGGGACTTTTGGCAGGTGTCACATGGAGTAAAGAAGTGTGGTGTACCGGAGAACCCATCAGTCACCCGAGAAGACAAGACGGAGATCAACA